TTTTTTTTTAAAAAAACCCACTGATTTAGTGTCATGTCAGAGCTTTGGAACTGTAGTTAGAGCTGAAGGATTTATTTTTTTAAAAAAAATAAATGGTTCCATTTTTTTTTAATCTAAGTAACATAAAGCATCCCTTTTCTGGGGATCCTCTCCCATGGCACCTCTTTTTCTCTTATGTAGCACAGGATAATTTTTCATTTTTTCAAAGCATGCTGCAGAGTTTCTATGTCTGCAATTATGGGGACTTTATAAATTACTTTTAAACAGTCGCTTATCAATTAAAATAGGGAGCCCTTGTTTTGCACTACTTGAGTAATTGTTCGGTGGGGGATGTGAAGGACAAGATATATGCTGTGAGTTATTTTGAAGAAAGTTCTCAGTCTAAGGTGAAGGTTTGAGTCCATGACATTATTTAATCAGAAACACAGTTTTGTTTTACTATCAAGGGAAACTTGCTCACCTTCTAAGTTAGCCTTCAGATAGGGTTACATACCTGACATGGTCAACTTTACTTTTAAGATACATTTAAGTGGATCTTTGCATTGCTTTCATCCTTAAACTCTTTTGCGTCTTGGTTATATTAGTAGCAAAAGCTCTCTCACTGTTCCTGAAATCTTTTGCATTTGTAAAGATCACCAACAAGAAGCATGTTGTACCCTGGCTACCATTATCCCATTCTTCATAATGTCCTGGGGTGAATAACCACCACAGATAATTAGCTTACTAAAAAGCAAGAGAATGTCTTTTCTCTAGAATGGATAGGACAATCTCTTCCTTCTGCTTTTAAGTAACGCCAACATCAATTATACCAAGCCTGTTTTACTTTGTGTAGAGCATGGAATAGGAAAAGGGACGTTTTAACCTTTCTAATTTGCCACTTGGAGGGGGGAAAAAATACTCACTCCATTACCAAGGTTAGGTGGCCTGTTCTTGAGGCTAGGGCAACAAGATTGGGAAGGTGGATGTGACCCACTCAGTGAAAAGAGAAGAATCAGAACTTTTTGAACAAAACTGAGCAATTTGGGGTTGTCTGGATTTCCAGTTGCGAAGAGGCTTCGAAGACCATTTATGACTCTAGAAAGATGGAAAGCCATCTTTCCAGAGCCTTAGAGAACACCATTTGCTTTCTGGATGCCTACAGACCTCTCTCTCTCTCTCTCCATTCGATTTTTTGTGGCTGATTTTAAGTGAGACACAATCTCTCTCACTTCAGATCAAGTTTCCTACTGGGGGAACAAAATGGAACTTTTACCAGTACGCGTAACTAAAACCCTAAGTTGGATTGTGCAAGAAAGCAAATTCCAACTGGCAACCAAACTTGGTTAATGGAACAGGATGTCTCAAATGATGGGTCTCATCTCTGTGGAGTGTTTCAGCAATGTGGCTAGCTAGCATTGACTATTTTGCATCAAGCAGGGACTTCGGGCTAAAAAAAAGCTGCCTGTTCTTTGGACACGATTGATTGTGGTGAATGGGGTCCTTAAAACAGGTATCTGCTGCTTAAGATAACAAAATTTAGAGAAGGGGAGCAAATTTAGAGACCGTCACCCTCTCCTGCCATCATCAAACTCCTACCACGACTTATATCCTACTGTGCTTGGGGACAAACCACGTGTGTTTTTAGGAAAAGAATGCACATTATTTTGAATCTCGTGTTTACGCACCACTTTTAACAGCCGAAGTGGCCCAGCATGTAAAGCTTGGTTATAATCGCAATATTGGCTTAGTGATGTTGTCTGAATTCAACCTGTTTGGTTAGCTTGCAGCTTTGACGTATCCTGCAAATGCAGATGTGTTTAGTTTCCAGGCTCGGCGTAGCCCAAGATGGAAAATTAAGTCACTTTTATGGCGGGGGGGTGGGTGGTCATCTTGATATTGTTATACTTTTCTCAGCCTAGCTGAGAACACTTCAACATGCCACTTGAAGGTAGAGTTGAGGTTCATCTTATGTGTATCTCAGCCACCATCTGGAAGAGGGGTGTCCAACCTTGGCAATTTTAAGACTTGTGGATGTCAACTTCCAGAGTTCTGAAAGTTGACATCCACAAGTCCTAAAGTTGCTAAGGTTGGACACTCCTGATCTGGAAGGCCAGTGGCACCAACTGCCCAACACCTGTCCTGTTACTACAATTTCCTTAAGCCCCTGCAGACAGCCACGAGGCACCAGGCATTCTATGATGGGCAGAGATAATCTTTCTCATCATCTCAATATCGCAGTGCCTCCCCAGGAGAAGTGAGAAACAACTATCCTCTGATGTAAATTCATCGTCAGAGCCCGTTCTAGAGACGCATAATGTTCTCTGCAATGTGGAAAAAAAAAAAAACCCTTTTGATTTAGCCCAGCGGCTGGCTGCCAATCACGCAGGATGAACAAAAGACAGTCATTTTAGTAGAATCACCATTCGCGGCTGAATTGAGAGAAGCAGGACGATCAAAAGCGTGGCAGTGAAGCTTTCTGTGTGTGGGTAGGAAGCTGCCAGAAAAGCCAAAATTGTTCCCTTCATTTAAAAAAAGGCATCTAAAATCTTATTTATACAACGGACAGCTTGTAGATTCGTTTCCCATCTCCAGATATGGGTGGTGATGGGGATAGACACATGGCCAGATATCTTAGTGACCAGTTTTTAAAAATTCAAGGGAAGAAAATGCTTTAGGTCTTTCTTTTTTTGGTATGACTAGAACCAAAAATACTACTTTGGGTATTCTTGCTTCAATCTTATAAAACATATTAATGGGGAAAGGAAATTTTTTGCTTCAAATTTGGCGATGGGGCTAGACAGTTACAAAAACAGCAGTCAAAACACTGCTCAAATCATATATCCCTTTTCAGTTTTTCGACCTGTGGTGGAAGGTGACCGTTAGACAATTAAGAAGATAGGCTGGGTTGTGGTCCTTCTCAAAAGAGGCTATGCGTTCCTTTAATGCAGTTACTTCTCAACATGAGCTGAAGATGTATGGATTTCAATGCCAAGAATTCCCGTTGGTTGAGGAATTCTGGGAGTTGAAGTCCACACATCTTCAAGCGGCCCAGGTGGAGAAACACTTGTTTAATGGTTAAGATGCTCCCGGGAGGGAAAATTCCAAGCATTGCGAGAGTGGAAACCTTTGCATTTAGAATGACTAAAGAAAAACTGGCTATAAATCGCTAAGCGTGGATGTGAGATATTTCTCTTGGGGAAACGTCTGCTTGCTTTGAATTATGCTGTTTGTATATTTATAAATAAAGCAAGTGGGATGAAGACATCACAAATCTCCTACGCCTTCCCATCTAGAAGCAAAGAAACCAACTTGGAATGAGTGGCGGGGACCTGTTTAATGTGTCATTTCTTGAATTAAAAACATCCCCAGGCTTCTGGTTGTTGATACTGAAACCTTTGTTCTCCACGTTCGTCATCAAAGGAACACAAATAAGATTTCTGAGCAAACCACAAGGCAAAATGCTGGAAGATCCATTACACAAAGAAGCAGAACTGGCTGGATTCACGTTAAGGATGGCACACTTTCACTGGGAGGCCCCACACATTAAAAAGAAATTCTATGCTATTTTCTTCGCAAATCAATCCTGCTTTCCCCACTTCTCACCAGTTGTTAGCACACTGTTCGTTTTAAACAACGGAATCTGATAAATTAAACTCAACTACAATAAAAGGTAGATCCTTTCATTATGGCCAACGATGGAATGAATGAAACAATGCAGTTTTCTTTTTTGTTTGGTTTGCCAAAAGCTTGACTAGAATAAAAAAAGTGGGCAGAATAAATAATGTAAGCACTCGAGGCATAAAAGATGTGACTGAAAACTTTCCACATGCTGAAGGACCTGATCCAGCTCCCAAGCAGCTCGACTATTCTCCAAAGTAGGGTTTTTCACTCGCTTCCAGATGTGTGGACTTCAACTCCCAGAATTCCCCAGCGAATTCTGGGAGTTGAGGTTCACACATCTGAAAGCCTGCAGGGGGTCCTTGCTGCTGAAGTTGGTTGCTTTCTTGCAAATGCGGTGGCACTGATGATGCCATCTAGAGTTCCACAAAACCGCGTTCGACTAAAAGGCGCTCGATGAAACCGCGTAGCTGACATCATCACAGCGCGACAACAGTGGAGAAAAAAGCACGCTGTAAACGCTAAACCTAAAATTAACCCCTAAACCTAACCCCCCTAAACCTAATCCTAAACCTAACCCTTTACCTAACCCTAACCCTTACCTTAACTTGAATCGGCTTGCTTTCAAAGTGCTATTTAAAGCGCCCTTCTTTCTCCGCGCTCGCTGTTATCGCCCTGCTGAGGACGTCAGCGACGCGCTTTAGTCGAGCGCGGTTTTGTCGTGCCACGGCCGTCTAGTATGGTAGTGAAATGTCTACAAGCAAAACAACCAAATTCTGAGGACATCAAGGGCCCTACTGTTCAATCCTAAGGTACCTCTTCTATCGGTACATCCGAAAGTGGCCAAGGTCAAAGAACCCTGCTCCAGGGAAATGCAACATGGAAATTAGCCTTGAGGAGAGCCAAAGCTGGACCAAATGCAGTGTTAAAAAGTTCTCCGGAATAATAAATTTTTGGAAATTTTAACATTTCAAAATAGGACGCAGAGATTCAGGAACAGTCCTAAACAGGAGCTATAAATAAACTACAGAGATATTGGTGCAGGGAAGATAGCGAAGCAAAAAATGCTGGGATTATGCAGGCAAAAAAAACAACTACCCCAAACAAGGAAATCCAATGCAGTATAAGCATGCAAGTGATCTGTTTAAAAGAGAAGAGATCCACTGTCTTTCTTACATAAGGAACGACCGAACTGTAACCCCAATGCCTCATCTTCCACAGCCTGACCCAGTTCCTTGGTCTGCCAACTATCGCTTTCTAAGATAAATAGGGAAGTGATAGTCCTTTGAATAAAGCTGAATTATAGGAAGTTCTCAACTTTGGCTTAGTGGCCGTTTGAAGTCACAATAGATCTCCAAAAGGTACTTATGACCCATTTCCAAAGTTATGAATCCACAGAAAAGCACCTTATAGCAGGGGTGTCAAACTCAAGGCTCGCGTGACAGATCCGGCCTGCGGGGTGCTTATATCTGGCTCACAGGCCAGCCTGGAAATAGCAAAGGACTGTCCTGGGGGTGCCTCTGGCAGCCAAAACAGAGTGCAGGGGGCTGTGTGCATCTCCCCCCCCCCCAGCCATGCTGCAGGATGCTGTTCTGGACAAAAATGGGGCATGGGGGGCTCCCCCCCCACCTCATTTTGGCTGGCAGGGTGCTGCAGGTGTCCGTCCTGTCTCCTCCCACCCCAGTCGGCCCGTGGTGGAGAACTACAATGCTGATCTGGCCCTCAAAGAATTCCAGTTTTGACACCCCTTCCGCATAGCAAACAATGGATTCACTTAATGACCACCATACTGGCAAGCCCAATTAGTGTCATGTCGATGACTACCTGTATACACTCCCTTCCCATTTTGCTCCTGGCTGTCTTGGCTAGAACTGAAGGAAGATTTGATACCGGGAATATCTGGAGGGCCACTGGTTTTCCTCCGCCCCCCCTCATTTCAAAAGATTCAACTGACCCAGCTTCATTCTTACCAGCCTTGTTAAGTAACGATCGAGCATTTTATTAATCGGAGAGAGGAGGAAGAAAAAATAAAACAAGTGTACATACATATACACACAAAGAATTCTGACGTTTTTAAAATGACGTCCCCGTTAATGGGAGCGAAGGGAGAGAGTGTGTCTGTCCGTGTGTTAGGGGACGAGTGGTTAGAATACACACCTCTTTCAACATGTCCAGTTGCTAGTGTTAGAGAGACAACTAGCGAGGAACTCAAGGAGGAGGAAAGCTTGGGGCACCACTAAGGCAAAGCTGGAAGGGAGGAGGAAGTTCTATAGGACAGAAATCAGCACCCCCACCAATCAAGAGCCCACAGGAATCATCCAATCACTGCTGGAGAAAATGACCCAGTGTCCCCTCTTTTCCTGCCAACCGATGTCTCTTTCCTCAAAGAGCATCTTTTCGTTTTGCCCCACCAGAATTTGGGAATAGTTCCCTGTTTGGAAGTTCGGTGGGAATATGGGACTAAATTTAGCCTGGAGGTAGCATCCCATTGTGATGAGCCAAAGCGATTTGGGTTGTTTTTTTTTTTTTTTACTCTTCAGCCCGTGTCAACTGCTCCACGGCTTTCTTTCTGTCTTTCACTCACTCAACTCATACACACACACATACACACACAATCCCCATGCGCCAAATAGCTACCTCCTTCCACCAAAGGCCAGGGAAAGGAAACCTATCGTAAACAGAAAGGGCACAGGACAGAATCATGCAGGGGGGAGTCGGAAAACACCGTTACTACGAAGCCTGATCAACCGAGAGAGAGTTCAATCAAGGATTTAACTACCCTTCTCCCTTCTCTGGAGGCAAAACAAGAAACCGAGTTCAAGACCACTGCTGGGTTTGATTTTGAGCGAAGGGAAACATTTCCGTTGACTGATACTTCCAACGCCAAGCAAGTAGGAGGGAAAAGGTGGCGGCTTTAATCATCAGGATGACAAAAAAAGGTAAAGATTGGGAGAAAAGCTCAACGGGGATGGGGGGGGGCGTCATGCGGAGTTACACGCTGCATGGCGGTGGCATTCCCGTGCAAACTGTGGCCCAGAAGTGACAGGAGGCCTCGGCGAATAGGTTCTGCCTCCCCCTTCCTCCCCTGCTCTGTCTCTCTCGCAAGTTTCACAGAACTGGGGGGAGGAGGAGGAGGATGTCACCTGTGGCCCCCGGATAATGGGAACAAGTTGAACCTGACTATTATGAGAAGGGGAGAAAATATCACAGCTGCCCAAGAAGGTTCTGAAAACACAGAGCTAAGAGGAGGAGGAGGAGGAGGAGAGGGAGGTGGGGCTCCCGAAAGGACGATAGTCAGCCGTGGCCTAATTCCATCATGTACATCCAATAGGAGGCGGGTGGGCTGGTCATACACATGCAGGGGAAAGGGAGAAAAAATGGTCGGCCCAACAGCATCCAAGTTGGAGAGACAACAGAGCCAGGTCCCGGATTCAAGCTAACGTCAACACTGTATGGGAGAGAGAGGAAAAGAGGGTATTGAATGTTCATAGTTTATGAAAGCTAATAAAACAATTTCATTAACGGCTATACATTCAGTTGTGCGGTCCCCATGGTACACTGTTACTCACCAATCATCATCGTCGTCATTTAACCACCCTATAATCCAGAGATCTTCAAACTTGGCAACCTTAAGACTTGTGGCCTCTGGGAGTTGAAGTCCACAAGTCTTAAAATTGCCAAGTTTGGGGGACCCTCTGCTATAATCCCTTGTGGGGTGGAATCTAGGCAACTAAATGGAGCTTAGAGAGAGTGTTTTCATGGCCGGATCCCTTCCTGTCACCAATGCGGAGTTTTGTTCAGTAGATATACACTCATTTGTGCCCAGAGAAATACCTGCCACTACCTAGGATCAAACTCACAGCCTCCTGATGGTGAGGCGAGAGTGCCACCTCTAGGCCACTGCACCACTCTACTGTTACTCACAAATGCTAGTCTTAATTTGAAAAGGGGACTTCCAACCCCAGAGTCTCCCACTGTATAGACCCCAGCTAATTAGGTTGGTCACTGGTTGGTCCCTGCAGGGTGCAAGTGGGACCTTCTGCTACAAATTCCACATCACCGCAAACATATGACTTGCCCTCAATCCCTGGATCCTGAGTAACAGTGTACACAGTGCCCCCCCCCTCCCCCGGTCTTCAGGAAGCATGCTGCTAAAAAGTCCGAGGAAGCCAATCCTGAAACATCGGGAGGATTGAGCTTTTGAGAAGATTCACATCTTCTATGAAACTCTTGCCCAGGCCTGAGCTTCTGCTTATGCGCTTTCCACAAATATTTGGTTGGCTGCAAAGGGAAACTAGATGCTGACTTTGAGGTAATTCTGCGAAGTAATCCTTGCAGATAAAATTAGTATACTTGTTGCTCAAGCTTAGGCCCAAGTTCACAAGTGCCCCGCAGATTCCCCTCTCTAAAGTGGTTACAAAGGAGCTGGAAACCTTCTGCTGGGAACAGCTAACAGCGGGAAAAACAAAGAACCAGGTGCATTCAAAGACCAGGCTAAATGCCAAGTGAGTTTGAAGTCACCTTGGAAACAGAAATTCAAAGATGAAGCGTTAAGAAAAAAGAATGTTTATGTCCATGTTCCACAGGGCCTTCCATGGTAAGAATTGAGGTCTAGTGAGAGAAAAGGAAGGAGGGAAGGAAGAAGGGAGGGAGGAAGAGAGGAAGTAAGGTTCACTAGGGATAGCACACTCACCAGTCAGCGCCTCCTGGGCAAAGTATTTGACATCCACATCAGGATCCTGGGTAAGTTTCTCTAGCACTGGCTTCACTTCGTTCTGAAGGGTACTGTAGGGGGGGAAAAAAGGCAGGCAAGGAATGAGGGGAGGAAGTAGGCAGAAGACAAGGCCTGTATCTAAGGTTCCCCAAAGCCTCAGTATTTCCACTGTAGCTATGGCACTTATATACCGCTTTACAGTGCTTCATAGCCCTCTCTAAACAGTTTACAGAGCATCTTGCCTTCAACCATCTGGATCCTCATTTTACTGACCTTGGAAGGCCAAATCAATCTTGAGCCGGTTAGGATCGAACTCCTGACGCTGGGCAGAGTTTAGCCTGCCATGCTGCATTCTAACCATTGCGCCACAGACGGCTTTTCTATCTCTCCCCTTCATTTCCTCCCACCCCAATAATCAAGATGAGCCCCAAACCCGGGCGGCACCAACAACAGTCATTGTTCCCCGTACCTATTATCCAAGATTGGTCCAATTTTTTGAAGTGACTTGGCTACATTGAAGCGAACATTTGCTACTGCATCTCCGGCCATCCGCAATACCGTGGGAAGCATGTGCTTGGTGGTGATTTCCTGCCCACAGACCTCTGACAGCACCTAGCAAAGGGAGAGCCATAGAGGTAGATTAGTGCAACTTGGATCCGAGGGGCTCTTATTATTTAAGAGGTTTTGCTGTTTCGGAGCTGGGCTTATGCTGACCTCCTCCTGCAGCTCTTTTGATTCAGTTCCCTAACAAGGCCGACTCTTTGCTCCAACCAAAAAAAACCAAATTGCACCGGGCAGGGCAAGGACGATCCTTAACTTTTGACGGTTGACTCTTCCCAACCAGCGCACGCACCTCTTTCCACATTCCCTCTATTGGTCCGTCCCACTTTTTCTTCTCGCTCCCAACTCCCTTCCCCGACTCACATTGATGCAGAAGAGCGTAGTCATGCGGTGCAGGTAGTTGGGGTCATTGGACATGGCCAGCACCTTGGGGATGATTGTGGCATGGGCCCAGTCCTTGCCAAACTTCTCCACAAGCTTCTTAAGGTTGCTGGTGGCTGCTTCTCGGATGGCATAAACTGCACGAGGGAAGGAATGAGACACAAAAGACAGATAAAGGCTAGGACACAGATCCTGGAATAGCAATACACAGAAGGGAGCCAAGTTCTTGCTGTAATGCCTAAGGCTTGATTTGAGATATACTTGGAGCAATTGCATGATTTTCTGTTTCAACAGGTGAACTCTGCATCACAAACATATTCAGATACAGGAGAGTGTCAAAGATGATGAGGAAAAAAAATAACTGGAGGATTTTGTTTAAAAACAATCCTGTCTCTAAAATGCAGAGAAACTTTGGGGCTGCAAAAATACTTTTTAATTAGAGTGTGAGGGGCCCTTGATGCTCTCTGAACTTGCTTGTTTTCTTGCAGACATTTCATTACCCTAGCTAGGTAACATCATCAGTGGTAGTCGGAGAGAAAAAAAAGTTCAGAGAAGAGCAACTAGGGTGATCAAAGGCCTGGAGACTAAAACACATGAAGAACGGCTGCAGGATGTGGTCATGGCTAGTCTAGAGAAAAGAAGAATTAGGGGGTGACATGATAGCAGTATCCCAATATTTGAGGGGCTGCCACAAAGAAGAGGGGGTCAAATTATTCTCCAAAGCACCAGAGGGCAGGACAAGAAACAATGGTTGGAAATTAATCAGAGAGAAGCAACCTGGAATTAAGGCGAAACTTAACTAACAACGAAGACAATTAACCAATGGAACAGCTTTGCCTTCAGAAATCGTGGGCGCTCCATCACTGGAGGTTTTTAAGAAGAGACGGGACAATCACTTGTCTGAAATGGTATAGGTTCTCTGTTCTGACCCCCCCTTCTCCACTCGTTAACAGACGACAGTCATACAGACTTAAAAAGAAATAACTTTATCAGTCCTCGGCTCAGACTGGCTGCGAGCCCAAAATGAACATAAATAAAGTCCCTGGCAAGAAGATAACAGAATGCAAAACAAAGATCTCTTACGGCAAAACCAGGTGTACAAAAAGAAAGCAAAGCACTTCTCCAAGTGTCTCTTTGAATCAGGGTTACAGAAAGCAAATCACTTCTCCAAGTGTCTCTCACAAACAAACCACAACTGATGAACAATGAATGATGAACGTTGACTTCTGCAACCAGGGCGTGGCACCATCAGTCCTTTTATCTCCAGAAGACCACGCTAACGAGCCCCAGCTGCATTGTTATTCCTGCATCCCAACTCAACTCACAGCAACTTCTGCTGAGTCACAACAGTTCTCCTGCTTGAGCAGGGGGCTGGACTAGAAGACCTCCAAGATTTTGTCCTGTCCTGTCCTATCCTTCATTCCAAATTCTATACTATCCTCTAATTAGGGTTATGAAACATCTGCAAGAAAACAAACAAGCTCTGAGACCACCAAGGACCTCTCATTACAACCATGAGCTATAAATATCCTCCTTTATTAGAGAGAGAGTGACTGAGTGTGCTCTTATTGTGCATTTGACACTGGCCAAATTACTGCTCTTTGGTGGAGTCCTATCTATACATTTTCTTGGAACTCAGCATGGGAAACCAGTTCTATTTTATGCCACAGGCAACACTTCTAATTGAGCCGACTGTATCCTTTTACAGTCTGCATTACCTCTTTCCTACCCAACTGGAACTGATGGTAGATGTACCTGAGATATAATTGCGGGAACTTTGCTACAGTTGGCTTCCACTGGAAATTTATCTCCCCATTTAATGCTGTAGCTACTCTCTACCCATCCCAGAAATAACTGAAACCGCAGTGAATTTTGAGGTTGAAAATGAGCTTTTAACCACATTATATAATTACTAGTCAAAAGCTTGGAACTCACTGCTGGTAGCACATTATATTAGGCAAGAACGAGACCAAAAAGCGCAAATTCACTGTTATCATTAACATGCTCGAAGTGGTACAAAATACAATAAAAATGAACTGAAAATTATATGAATGCGGCATGTTGAATAATCAAAGTCTGAAACGGGGGGAAAAAACAGACGAAAAAACTAGTGTTGTAATGTTTTTTTTCCTAATGTACTTGCATTAAATCTGAATTTAATTGCTAGAAAAGATTATCCCATTAAATACCGAAATGTGACTCAACCTCTTTTGCTTTAGTGCTAAAAGCCTTCAGTGATTCATTTTCTCAGCTGGAGAAAATTGCTGACACAATGGATCCCATTAATTCTGAAATATGCTTTCAGTGCTCTAGATCACTAGTTGGGGGAAAGCACTGAATTTTTAAAAATGTGGGCTAAAAGCCAAATAACTACTTTAACTTATATTCTCCTCTTAAGCTACAGCATCTTTCTTCTATAGGTAATTGGGATGAATTGCATGAAAATTCGGTCTGGTGATTTAAGTTTGCCAGCTTGGAAACCAGGAGACTGTGAGTTCTAGTCCCATCTTAAGGCATGAAAGCCGGTTGGATGACTTTGGGCCAGTCACCCTCTCTCAATCCAATATACCTCACAGGGTTGTTGTTGTGGAGAAAATAGGGGAAGGAATATTAGGTCTTTTTTATCCCAATGAAGTCGGGATAAAAATTAATTAATCAAATAAATCTTCAGCACCTGAGACAAAAGAAAGTGTGCTTCGATTCCTAGGAGACATTTACATTTCTTTAAAAAAAAAGATTAATAACCTACATTAGAAACCTGTGGAAAAGTTTTCTAAGGTGTTTACAATAAAAAAAAGTTATAAACAATGAAATAGATCTACAAACTAAATATCTAGGGCATTTAGATATATGAAGATTTAGCACATGAAAAACCAGACAAAAGAATACAGAAACCAGTCTTCCCTAAAGGTATTATTCCAAGGATTCCGTAAAAGAACTTTGTACTAAAAGCTATTCACTGCGCTGCACTTACTAGGAACCACTGATAGCATTTTCTCAGATGATCTCACATTCAGTACGAAATACGTAAAAAGTGCTAACTCTACAAATATCCCATGCAAATAACTCCAGAGTTTTCCATATAAGCCTGATTGCACGAGATCCTCCATCCAGGGAATGGAGAACTGAGGAAAAGCTTCCGGTCCAGATGAAGCTGCAGCTGGCACCATAGCTAAAACTAAAGATGCCCTGAAGCTATTAATGCTTCTGGAGATAAACACAGAATTAATCACCACTCTCAAAATTAGATTCTGGTGATTTCAATACTCTATTTACGANGCCCAGAGTCCCTATGGGAGTGGGCGGCATACAAATGTTATTAAAGTTGAAAAGTTGAAAGTCCATCACTGGAGGTTTTTAAGAAGAGACTGGACAGTCCCTTGTCTGAGATGGTCTAGGTCAAGGGTCTTCAAACTGGCAAGTTTAAGACTTGTGGACTTCAACTCCCGGAATTCCTGAGCTAACGTGACTGGAGGAGGAATTATGGGAGTTGAAGTCCACAAGTCTTAAAGCTGCACGTTTGACGACCCCTGGTCTAGGTTCTCCTGCTTGAGCAGGGGGGCTGGACTAGAAGACCTCCAAGGTCCCTTCCAGCTCTATTCTATTTCTGATCTGAAACATCCACAGCAGAGACAAGGACTGGGCCAGCCTTTTCTCAAACAGAGACGCCCCAGAAAGCTCAGGATTGTGGGAGAAGAAGGGCCACATATCTGGAGGGCATCCACCCGGAAGCCAGAGGGGTGGGGAGGGGAAGGGCTCCACCCCTTCCTCAGCCATCAAGGGCTGCCCTCCACCTCGGCCTCCTCTATTGACAGCCCCTCCCTTACCACCTTTCATGCAGAGGGAAGTGGGGGGGGGGGCTAAAACATCCCCAGCAAGGAAATGCCAGAACCAGGAAACCCCACCTAAGCGGCTGGCCCAAGCTCTTCACCGATTGGCTAAGAAGCTTGAACCGAGCTAGGCAAGGACCCAATCAGAACCCTCCGCTCTCTTCCCCAAGTACGCTTCATAAAAGAAGACGACCTGCCTCCCTTTCTTCCACCATCCACCCCGCCCCCCCCCACAACAGAGAAATGAGTGGCCCAACCAATCGCGCGGCTGCTTGCATTGCCGCAGGAGGGGAGAAAGAGATAATACGGCCCTTCTCATTAGCCACCCCCTTCCTCTTGGTCTTCTCCAATGAGACCTCTCGCGACCAATCCGGCTCCGTTTCACAGGGCTCCCATCCGGGTTTCTCAGATAAAAGACCGCCCCTGATTGGTCATCGTACCGGGAGCTGGGTTCTCGGGCTTGAAATATTCTCCCCGCGGCTGATTCCCGCCCCCCCCGCAGCAGCAGCTGAACGCTCGTCGAATCGGGCCGTACCTGAACGTCCTCGTTCCGCAGCTCATCGATCAACACAGCGATAGGATAAAGGGAATCATCTCCGTCGGCGGCCGCCATCTTAGCTCCCGGCTTCTCTTCTGAAGACTGCGCGGGGTTCTCGCTGTTGCCTTGCAGGGGCGGGTGAGAGGCCATTGGTTCGTTGGGTTGTCACTCTGTCTTATACGAAAAGCTGATTGGATTCTTTTTAGACGAGTTCCCCGTTTCCGATCTTCTAATTTAGCATAGCTGTCTATCTGTCACTGGCTTTCTTGTTCTTCATTGGACCGATGTTTCAGAACTGCTCCACCCACAAAGAGATTTGGGAAAGTACGTTCTTTACGTCCGCCTCTCTTTCATCTCAATTGGTTAGATGGACTATATCCCCGCCTTTCTCCGATTCATAATAGGATCTTTATTCTCTATTCATTCTGTCATAAGGCTCACAAAGGACTATGGAATTAGTCCCGCCCCTGGAATGTAATGTTAAGTCCGCCTCCCGATTATTGAGAGGCGATTAGGCAATGCTTCTGAGAGACAGCTCATAATAACCAATCCCAGAGTGGAACCTACTTTCCTTTCAGCCGAAGCAGAGGAGGGCAGAGTGTGTGACTAGGTTGCCAAAGCAACTTTGCCTCTATTCTTCCCGTTGCGGTGACGTCAGGCTAACTTGTGACGCAAGCTTACGTCATAGATCTATGAGCTCACCTTAGTTGGGCGGGGCTTGGTGCAAAGGCATTTTCAATGCCCATTTGCCAATCTTATTTTCTTCTAAAATAAAATTGTGGATTGAATGTATGAATGTACACACACACACACACACACACACATCAGATCAAGAACTTGCTACACACATTAAAACTTCATTGACTGTTAATGGAATTGTCTAGTTGGAGGAGTGTGTGTTAAATCTGGATTTCAATGTCTCCCTTCTTGAAGGAGTCCCTTTTCCATGGAAACCCTGCTTCAGCTTGTAGACATCAAGAGAACCCACCTGTTCTCCGAAACATAGATTCTACTATTAAATTGTTCTTTTCTATCTTCCTATTAAATTAAATCCCACATACTGTGTCTGGAATGTTAAGAAAACTGGTTTATTTATTTATTTATTATTGATTAATTAGACCAGTGTTTCTCAACCTTGGCAACTTGAAGANTTTTAACATTTTCTAATGGTGGTGTGCCTCGTGATTTTTTTTTCATGAAAAAAGTGTGCCTTTGCACAAAAAAGGTTGAAAAACACTGTGCTAAGCAACCGGTTGTGAGTGAAAAACTACCTGTCAAAGTACAGCCGTCTTCAGATTTGGTACTGTACCTTCCTTGACATTGTATCGGGCAACTTAGAAGCGTTGTGCACCATTGTGACCACACGTTACAGGAGGTGACTGGTTAATGGAGAAACTAACCAATATCAGTTATCAGGATTTGAGTCTTACCATGATCCACTAGCCAGGCCATGCAAAGGGAGTTTAGCTTCTCATCAAAGAATTCCACACCCTGAAGACAGGGAACATCAAAGTGACAGCAAATGAATGAGCGAGGATTACAAATTACGAGGTTACAAATAAGGTTACAGAATTCTTTGTTCAACAGAACAAAAACAGAAATCTGGAGAAACAGACTTTGTTCCAATTAGCAGGCACCGCAGGGCAACCCAGCAGACAGTCATTGAACCTGTGAGATTTTTGACAAAACAGCCCTGGCAGAATTAATCACAGAAAAGCAGGAGCTCAACAAGCACCTGTGGCTATTCAGCTTCTAACTGATGTCCAGGTTGCTGAGTAAAAAAGCTCAAATGTTTACAGTTCTTTTCAAAAGGTTGAAAACAAAAAGCAAAACCCGCACTCACCAGCTGTCCAGCTAACAGGGGCATGTACTCAATAATAGCTAACCGCACACGCCACTTGGCATCCTCTGCCAACTCCACAATTGCTGGCAGCAGTGACTGAGACAACTGCCGGATGCCGATCACTTCGTTCACACAGTCCAGGTTGGAGATGATGTTGAGTCGGACCTCAGGGCACTGCAGAAAAAGAGCAGACGAGAATGGGGAAGAGCTACTGCCTCAATTGCCATCCTAAAATGCTTCCTGTTGTGCTAGTTTAAGGAGAGGCTCCTAAGAACCAGGGACGTGCAGTCACTAGAGGCAGGGGAGGCGTGGCCTCACCAGTCATGAGGAAAAGGAAAGAATTTTAAAGAATTTTTTTTTTAAATAATTAAAGCCAAGGTAGTTGCTGCCAGATTCCAAGTCACAGTGACTTGGATTCTTCTTAGTGTTAACTATAGGAGGAGGCCAGAGAAATAGGGGCCTCCTGTGCATAAGTTGCCTTTTAAGAGTTAAGCAAGGGTTAAAAAGTGAAAAATTTCATATGCAAAGGAGGCACGTGTTCTCTCGCCTCCTGTAGAGGGC